CAAGTGTCTTGGTAGGGATTAGATGGTAACTACTTTGAAGACAATTACATTCTTTATTGTAGGATAATATTTTAAGATTTACAAACCAAGCACATCTTGCTTGGGGAAAATCCCAATTTCTAAATATTTTTGGGCAGCCTGTACATGATTGAGGGATTTCCAAATCTTGCTTCGTCTTGGTTCGGTTCTTCTTTTCACCATATTCCATATACCAGTAAATAAAGAAAAATGTTTAGGAATGAATCATAATTTGTGAACAGTGTTCAAACTGTGACTAATGAATGTTTCGTGATTTCACGTGACTAGATTCTGGCAATTCAGCATGTTTGCACTACGTGCACTAATAATATTTTAAGACTTTTCTTTTTGGTTGACCTTTCCATGTCCTTTGAATTTCTATGTGATAGATACCTGAAGCAATTAATGAATTTCAGTTGATTTGCTCAAGAAATTGAAGAACAGAAACTATTTTTTTGGTATATTTCTGTATGTACTGAATGAAAAAGGAACTGAATACAATGCAACAAAGGAATGAATTACAATAGATTGCCTAACTTTTGAGAGATACCCTCTTCCCAATTTTACTGCTCATTTCTGGATGAGTTGAATGAACTTTCTACCCCTATTTATTGTGAACTAGGTCTTGATCTACCCATTTTGCCTTCGTGTTCTATAATTATGCTCTGATATTTCTATGTTTAGATTAACGACTGACAAGTATTCTAATCATTTGATTGTTGTTTGGTAGATGGATAAAGGTAAGCAATTGGAAGCATTCTCGATTCAGCTTGTGATTCTTGCTATATGGAAGCAAGCATTGGATGTTTGTCGTACGCTAGTGGCATCAACTACTGAAGGAAGTCGAACCCAAGAGACTACAAAATTGAGGGAGCTTTCTAAGGTGCAACATGGTCCTGATGTTCAGGAGTGTCTTGATTCTGCTCGCACTCGGGGGCCGCTGGATATCTGTTCTCAAATTGATAGAGCATTTCTTCTTGAAGTTGGGAATGCAGAGGAACTTTCTAGAGTAATAGAGCCTGGTAGGGATACGATGTCTTAATTTTTGATAATCGGCATGGAAGACCTTGTTTGTCTGCTCTATTATTTTGTCAAAATAGCTTTGTTGACTGAGGTCCTCCAATGATATTTTCATACCTTTTTATCCTTTGCCATTTGTTTTCAAATATCCATTTTTCCATCATCATCGGTAAGCAGTAATACTGGTCCACCTTTTTTCCTTTTTTTTTTTGTGTTATACTCGATTTAGTTGTTGTCTGTGGTAATATTGAAAACCAAAAATGGTTTACCCGCTCATACAAGGATGGTGTGTGTATGTATGTGTATATATATATAACGCCAAAACATTTTTTATTTTTTATTTTTTTTCTGATTTTGAGAAACTATAAGCTAGGATTTGATAGTAATAACAAGTCATCAAACTGTAATTTTCGGTCATGGACCACAGGGGTGGAGGCTCTTTGACCCAGGCTAAGAGTACACCATTTCTTTTTGTAGCCTACATTTTTTTTTTGTTAATTTTACTGGTATGGAGACATTTATGCCAGCTTTCTTGTATTGATTTTAGGAAATACGGAGATGCCAGATTCAATGGAGCTGATATACCAATCTGCTCTGGCTTTCGGCAGACGTGGGGCTGTAAGTACTTTTTATGGTAAATTGCACGTTTCTGAACCTTTGAAGGTTGTGATGATGGGTCTCAAACCTTTGATTTCTAGCACCCAAAGTCCCAAACCTTTCTAACTTCTGCGGCACTGAAACCGTCAGTTTGTCTGTTAAACTGTCAAGTTTTGGGCAAAATGACCATTTTACCATTAGTTTGATTTAAAAAAATAAAATAAAATAGAAAAATGAAAGCAACTCTACCCCAACACCAACGCCACCCTTCCATCCCCTCCTGTTTCTTGTTTGGTGCCAAATCAGTCCGTTTTCCGTTTTATCTCTGTAATTTCTCTTCATTTTCCTCCTGTTCTAGTTTCTTTTTAATAATTTCTTCTAGTGATTCTGATTTGATGAGCAGTGGATCAGCCACTTTTTTGGGAAAAAAAGAAGTTTCTTTGTCTGTGTATAAACAAAATTTTTGGGATTGTTAACTACAGCCTGATATGTTGATAAACAGCCAAGAAACCCTGGTTCGTCAGCATTTTCAGGCTTTATTTTTTGCAGAGGGAGATGGGTTCTAGATGGGGATCCTAACAAAGAGAGTAGTGGGCAGATTTCTAGAGATAAAAATAAAAAACTGAAGTTTAAGCTTTACCATTGCCAAATGCAAGTCACTTATACTTTCAAATGTTTGTGACCCCATAGTCACAACCTTCTAAGGTTTGGGATCTTAGGTGTAATTAACCCCATTTTTTAATCTTATCTGGTAGCAATTGCAGTAGATTAATTCTCATAATAAATGGAGTAAATCATTAATGGCATGAAAGTACCATGTTGAATGATTAAAGATTAGAATGATCAAAAAGTCTTCATCTTCTGGCTGCCAATGAAGTTACCGTAACCTGCATGTGCACTGTGAGAGTGTTCGATTTAATTGCAATCCAAAATGTTGCCAATGCACCTATATAGATATTTTAATGTGTATTTTCACATTAATATTAGGCAGAGAATTTAATTAATTTGTTGCAATATAAAAACTCTTCATAACTTATTGTGGTATGACGTCTTTTTTATGAATGATCATCAGTTTTACAATCTGATCTTGGAATTTTTTTTTTCATGCAACAATTTATGACTTCAGTTTGATAGATAGCGTGCTAAATCGTAAGCTACCTCACTTAGAACTAAGAATCCAGGGTTTTTCCTTGTCGAAGATAAATAATTTATTCAGGATAAAAACTATCCGATTTTGACATTTGCTCACTGTCAATTTCTAGTTGTCTTGATAGGCTGTGCTGGATCCAGGATTTTTAGAGGGGAGGAGGGAATGTTGTGTGCCTTGGGTCTGTTAGGTAAATAAAATTAGGAAACATATCAAAAGAAAATATTGTTGTTGTGGGTAGACTTTTGGTACACCGGTTTGGTATGGTTTCACAAGTGAGAATTGCTTGGGAACTCGGGAATTCTATGAAATATGGAATATAGGCTCTCAATTGCTGCTCTCAATTGCTGAATTTCATCGTCCTGTTTTACATCTATCAGTAATCCTTGTGAAGTTATAGATCTAACACTTTGAAGCCACCTTCGAAAATATAATTTTTGTTTCTATAAGTACTTGTAAATAATTTTGAAGCCATCTTAGAAAATGTAATTTTTGTTTCTAAAAGTACTTCTAAATAATTTTTCATTTGTACATGTAGAAGTTTACGAGAATTGGATTCTTAGAATTACACCAGTAAAGAATATGTTCTAGCGTAGTTATTAAAGAAGAGAGCACATGCAAAAAAATACAGATGAGAGTTCCATGTTGGATTAATTATGGGATTCAAACATAATCATTTCTGGCGATTCTCCCGTCACCATGGCTCTATACTTTACCACACTTCTTGAAATATTAGATTCAAGTTACTGTGTTTTTATTTTATAGATAATGTCAGATGTGTTTATAACCACTTTCTAAAATTAGCCCTTATTTGAGCCACATTATTGGAATGAAAATGCATTTTTGAGTAGTGTATTGATGGAAAATATGTGGTTAGAGAATAATGAAAGTTTTGAATTTGCGTTTAATATTATTTTATTGAAGAATGTGTGATTGAAATGATATCAAATCACTGTTGAAGAATGTATTTTTTTGAAAAAATGTGGCTCAAACAGGGCCTTACATAATTATGCATGGTTTGCAGGTGCAGGAGTGTATGGGTGATACAAAAAATGCTGGGATATTTTATTCAAAAGCAGTGTGCTTGTTAGTATTTCTTCAAGTCGAAGCACCATCCCTCATTCTGAATCCTCCGTTTTCTCTAACAAACTCTGACCGATATAGAATTAAGAATTACATTGAGATCCTTAAAAACCGGCAGGGTATTTTACAGTCTCAAAGATTGGCTATTTTCAAGTCTGAGAATCAGCAACCCTGCCATGAAAGCCAGGGCAGCTGTTGATACCAAATGGCGATGGCATCATATTCTACTCTGTAAATATTTACTCTGTACAGAAATTCTTCGGGTCTTGGGACACGGGATTGAACCTTTTTGTACATGGGTAACTGGTTGTTGTTGATATTCACACAGCATTTAAATGCCTGAAGTACTTAATTTTTTGGCAGGTTTTGCTTCTTGGTGGTTCTGTTTTCGCATTGTTGAATGAAATCTTTAACCATGCCAGCAATTCAGATAACATTAAATCTGGAAATTACTTGATATTTCTCGCATGGATGAAGAAATTTGGATTTGGATTTGGATTTTTATTTTTTATTTTTTATATTTGTACTACCTTAAATTTGACATTTCAAATCTTTGTAGTGAAAAGGATCTTGATTTAATAATATATCCTAGAGTGTACTCTAAGGTTCAAAGGGTAGAGTCGAGGTAGCAGGGATTGATATGATTGGCCGAGTTTGGCCAATCGAGGCTGCAACATGCATGCTACGATCAGCATTGCTGCAGCCACCTGCGGCAAACATGCCTGATGCCTGTTCATTTTGCATCTGTTCTTGGTTTTAACCACTTTTTGGTCCTAATTCGGTTATTTCATTCAAATTGTGTAGTTGTGACTCTAATGAAGAGATTTAACTCTTGCAAAGTGTTGTCATTATGATTTATGAATAGATTGATCAAATGAAAATCTGGCAGATTATTCTCCTCTTTTTCATCTTCATGTGCTGAATGCACTTTTTTCTTCACTTGAAACTTGTTTTATGTTCGGAATAAAAATGCAAAGTGTGGAGTCCTCAAACATTACAAGCTATTAAGCCCATGCGTACGAATGGACTTAAACGATGCATGTGCCTGGCTCTGGCTGGCTTCTGCAACATGTTTGAACCATGCACAAGCACGCATGATGGGGAAAACAAGCTGTTAAGGTTGGTTTCAGATTTTTATTTTTGGTGGCTTTTAGTATAAAACACTAACTTTTCGTGAATGTTTGGCACTATTTTGTGAGGTGTAAATTGAAAACTATAAATAGGTGATAGGTTCCAATTACAATTACAATTACATTAAAACTCATCAATCTAATATCCTTATTCAAAGTGCCTTTATTCCATTCATTTTCGCATTCAAACTTTTGTTTTCTTCAAGTTTTTAAAAGAAAACACAAATGTTTTAAGTATTTTTCTTCTTAAAGGCTTGTTTTAATTTTACAAACCATTTGTCGGTGTATTACGCATTCAAATAATCCTAAAGGGGAGAAATATCGTTTGAGGATAATGATCTCGTGTTCAAGTTGAAGTTTTGTCAAATAGGTTGAACTAGTGACTTCTCGTTCTGGTGCTTTGTCTAGGTCTATACCTTGGCTTAGTCTAAAAACTATTAGTGCGACTAGCTACCTTTGCATGTGTAGATTCGTGTTGTTGGAAACTTCCCTTCCCTACTATTTAAAAACAGAAATTATCACAGCAGTATCGAGCTGCAAATTTTGAAAATATGATGCTTTTTATTCTTAAAGTTCACATTGGCACAATAGAGAACGAGATGTGAAGCCAAATTAAACGTGACAGTAAGGCAGGACTTAAGAAATTCTCTCCTCTTGAGCCTAAGATAATTTACTCTGGTAACAATGACAGTCCCTTTTTGTTTTGAACTCTATGCGTACTCTATTTCTAGTCAAGGCAGTGTTGTGAAAAAATAATACAGCAATGGAGAAATAGAAATGAAGAAGATAACAAGATTCGGCAAAGGCTTGAACACGAAAATATATCGTTGTCCTCAAAAGATATTTGCCTTCTCTACAATGCTTTTTAAGAATTAAATTTGGAAAATAGTTTGTAGGATATAATCAAGCCTTGAAGAAGAACACCAAAAAGTGAAAGTGATCTTCAAATGAACAAGTGAAAGGGAAAAATTAAAGTTTCTTGCAAGATTTTGGAAGAATCAAGGAATAATTTTCATATGATTTTCATAGTGTTTTTCTTGAACTTTGATCACCTATTTATAGGCCTTGATCAGTTCACATGAAGTGGTGCCAAATTTGGGATGAAATGCTGCCAAATTCAAATCAAAACGATAAAAAACAACGGTCAAAATTTTTTTCACTATGCGACTGCATAGTTATAGCCTATGCAGTCGCATAGTTATAGCATACAGTGGCCACCAAGTTTCTGTATGTGTCTATGCGACTTCATAGACCAATAGCATATCTTGGTCCCCTCCCCCTTTTTTCTTTTTCCTTCTTCAATTCATTCTTCTAGATTTTGAACAATCAAATTACAACAATCCCCCACTTGTTCAAAATCACGTTAATTACGTAATCAAATATCAACACTCGTGCATAAGAGTTAGATATCTTTCAATTTGAATCTATCCATAGGTTAAATTTCATAAAGTATTGTTGAAATTTCAGATAGCTAGAACGCTTTGAACCAGTTATTCTTTAAGACAATATCGATGAAATCATACACGTGTCAGAATTTTCACAAGTTCCTCTAACTCGCTTTGTGCTAATATGACCTTGCATTTATCATTTTTCATTGAACTTTTAAATAGAGAAAACTCCAATTCTCTAATGAGGTGGTACCACCTCTAAGTTCACATAGGTGAAATTCTTCTAGTATCTTTGTTACTTTTAGAGATACTTATACCTTGTACTGAACTTCGTCAAGAGTTTTTTATCGTAACTCATCCCTCCAACAGTAACAACCAACACTATTTACCAAAAATAGAGTTTAATAATTTAATAGTGTTGAAATCTATTCACTGATCGAATGAGTTGTTATCATCATTTGAACCTAAATATACTCGTTCAGTATACTTTTGGTGGGGTTGCTATCATTTGTAGATTTATTTAAAGAATTTCAACCCCATCTTACTTGATGTTGATCTCACTAATTCTCTTGTGAAATGTTTAGTAAATGGATCAGCTAAGTTCTCACTTGACTTAACACATGTAAGAGAAATTATTTCATGCTTGATTAATTTCCTTACATACTCGTGTCTTAAACTCATGTGTCTAGACTTTCCATTGCATACTTCGTTATATGCTCAAGCTAGAGTAGCTTAACTAGCACACAATATAGGTATTGAAGAAATGTCGTTTATGGTTAAAGTTATAACAAATTTCTTAGCCACTCAACTTCTTTCCCAATTTCAACCAACGCAACAAACTTCGACTCCATTGTTGAATAAGTAATGCACAGAATTCCAAGAAACTACACCTCCTCCAATAGTAAACATCCAACCTGAAGTGGATTTATTTTCTCCCGCACTCGATATCCAACTGGTGTCAATATATGCTTCCAAGATTTTAGGAAACTTTTTATATTGTAGCCCTAAGTTTTTGGTTTTCTTTAGGTAACCAAAAACCCCCACTGATGGCCCTCTAATGTTCGAAACTTGGGTTACTAGCAAACTTACTTAATTTACTTACACCAAATGCTACATCAGATCTTCTGCATTGTGCCACGTACATAAGACTTCCAATTGCACTTGTATATTCTTTTTGAGCTATTGATCTTACATCGTTTTTGATCTACTTGATACTTGGATCCAATGGGGGTATTGGCCTCTTTGACGTTTAAGCGATTGAACTTATTTACAACATTTTCTATATAATGTGATTGACTTAACGTAAAACCCCCACTGTTCTTTTTAACTTTGATACCAAGGATAGTATTTACTTGTCCAAGATCTTTCATTTTGAACGTGTAAGATAAAAATGTCTTCGTTTCTTTGATCCCATCTATATTGTTACTGATGATCAAAATATCATCAACATATTGACATATTAAAGTAATTACACTATCAGTCACTTAGTATAAAGGCATTTGTCTACCTTGTGATTAAAACCATTTGACATTACTTTAGAGTCAAACTTCTCATACCACTTTTTAGGGGCTTGTTTTAATTTATATAAGGATTTGATTAGTTTGTATACTTTATGTTCATTTTTCGATAGAACAAACTCTTTTGGCTGTTACATATGCACCTTCTCTTTGAGATCTCCATTTAGGAATGTCGTCTTGACATCCATTTGATGAACATGTAAATCATAGATAGATGCTAGTGCAAACAAGATCCTTATTGAGGTTATCCTAGCCACCAGCGCATGTGTCAACGTAATCTTTTTCTTCCTTTTGACGATACCCCTTAGCTACTTACCTAGCTTTATAGGTGTTGAGTGTTCCATCGGAATTGAACTTTTTTTTAAATACCCATTTACAACTACTGGCATTAGAACTTTTTGGTAGATCAACTATTTTCCAAGTATTATTCGAAATAACAGAATCCATTTCATTGTTTATCGTCTCTTTCCAAAATACACAATCTCTCGATGACATTGCTTCCTTATAGATTTTTGGATCACTTTCCACTTGAAGAACAAAAGGTATTATTCTTACAACATCCTTCCTATCTTCCTCTACTAGGTATAAAGAAATAAGTTGGGAATCTATTTCATCCGATCCTAAACCCTTTTCTTTTCTTGTTCTCGTACTTCTTCGAGATTCATTTTCAACATCTCTTATAGATGTCTCTTCTTGTGGATCTTTAGAATTTGGAATATATTTATCATTTTTAGATTTCCTTGCTACTAATACATTCTCGAAGAATTATACATCCCTTGATTCTATTATAACATCCGATTCAAGGTTTAATAACCATAGGCTTTGCTATTATGAGTATATCCTACAAAAGCACATTAAATACCTATAGGACCTAACTTGGTTCTCTTGGGATCCATCTTCTTACAATAAGCAAGACACCTAATTAATATTTGGTTTCTAACCTTTCCATATTTTATATGGGGAGATCTTAATTTTTTCCATAGGAATCCTATTTTCTATATGACAAGAACTAAGTAAAGCTTCATCACATAAATTAAAAGGTAATTCAGGATTTAATGACGTGGCATTTATCATCTCAAGGAATGTTCTATTATTTCTTTCTACTAGACCATTTTGTTTTGGTGTTCGTGGCGCAGAATATTGATGTATTATTCCATTTTGTTCACAAAATATGTTGAATCCATTATTGTCCACCTCTATCAATTCTTAGAGTCTTTAATTTTCTTCCTAATTGATTTTCAAATTTAACTTTATACGTTTTAAAGGCACTAAGGCTTTATCTTTATGTTTTAACAAATACACATAAGTATTCCCAGAACAATCATCAATGAAAGTAACAAAATATCTATTACCGCTTCTAGTTAGCATTCCATTCAATTCACATATATCAGAATGAACAAGTTCAAGTAAATTTGTTGATCTTACTACAATATGAAATGACTTTTTGATCATTTTTTATTTAACACGTCTCACATTTTTCTAAGTTATCGATTTTACAATGCATTAATCCACATTTAATCATTCTCTTCATATTACTAACTCCTATGTA